GATACCTTCTAACTCTGTGTCAAGAATTTGGTCTCCTTTAAGGGAGTTTTTCTGCCTGTTAGCTTTCTTGACTATAGATGTCATCACCACCTCCCACCTGCCGGCTTGTTCTCAGAATTGTTGCTTAGGCTGGCAGAAGTGATTAACTTGCAGCAGCCGAGAACAGTCATCTAAAGTGGTTGACAGCTTGCAGTTTAGAGATCTGCACTGAGAACTTCAGCTCCACCAGAAAAATAATTGCCCCACAAGCCACAAAATCCTGGCTAGGGGTCTGCTTTGTCATCTTCACACATTCTTGCCTTCCAAGTCCCTTTTCAACAATGGGGGGGGAATCTATCTGGCAACCAGGGACTTCACAGTAGTAGCCGGAGAAGGGGGGTGGGAGTTGAAGAGTTGAGGGATTTTTTTTTGTATCTTTTATACTTGATTGATTATTTATGAATGGCCAGTGTCTGATTTTATCATCTTATATATTATGCATTTTTATATGCAATTGTTGTTTTATTATTGTAATCCACCCTGAGCCTTCGGGAAAGGGTAGAAGAGAAATCAAATAAATAAACAATTTTTTTTAAAAAGGAGCTGTTCAGTGCATGGAAAAGCAAGAGGAGGGCAAGAGGTGCGAGCCGGAGGTTGGGAAATTCTGGCCAAGGGTCCAAAAACCATGGGTCAGCCCTGGATGGGTCACCCTACCAAGTCAATTTGGCTTGTGGGTCACCATCCCGAAAAGACTGGGAACCAGTAAACCAGGGTATCACGGAAGCCTGTACGGGATAAGCTTTTTGCAGGGAGCTGACCTAAAAACCAAGCCCTCCCCTGATAATATTTTGCTTTGATCAGGGTCACATGAGGGGGGGGCAGATGGAATCTTTGTCCGGGGGCCCAGGGTGGCTCTGGGCACCCCTGCCAATAAGAAATGTAAACTGACTTTCACCCATGAGGAAAGTACATTCAGAACATCCAACCTGTAGGACCTTCTGACCTTTGCCTTGATATTCCCATTTGGATTCATCCAGAGTTTTAAATGAACCATCTTCCATGTAGCTTTGCAGAAATAGGATAGCAGAAAGTAACACTCCACCCTCCCTGTTTTAGCAGGAGTGCTCTGATTTGCCCAATGTATTTACTACAAAGTACTAACACTGCTAAGCAGTGTCGGCCCTGGCAAGTGTTTGGATGGGAGGCCTCCAAGGAACACCAGGGTCGTGATACGAAGGCAGACAGTGGCAAGCCACCACTGGATATCTCTTGCCTTGAAAAGGCTACGGGGTCACCATAAGTCAGCGACTGCACCTTCCACCACCACCACCACCACTAACACGGCTGACTCATTAGGTGGCAGTGAAGTTCTTCCGTGCTGTAAGAGATGAGTTATGGCCATCGAAAACCTAGAATTCCCCCACCCACGCACGCACAGTGTTTTGCTTTGGCACCCCCAATCACAAAAAGCACACTCTCCCGTTCCCATGCTGAGTGTGTATGGGGGGGGGGGAGCTTCGCTTCAGGGGACATAATGTGAGCACATTTTGGTTTTAATTAGAAGAGATGTGGGTTGGGCTTCATTTCTGAAGAGAGGAAACTGGAAAGCACAGCCTCCAAAAAGAAGAAGAAGAACTTTATAGGATCAAAGCAATATAGCCAACATTCATGAATTGGGAGGGTGTTGCCGGGGGGGGGGGAGAGTAAGACACGCTTGCTGATGCCTGATGTATTTATTATATTTTTAAAAAGAGCTCCATGGGCACTTCTGCACTTGAGCAGTAAAGTAAGAAAGGGCTTTAGAGAAATATGCACGGATAAATATTAAAACGGAGAGGGTTTTAAGCTTTTTCTTTTTAAGAAAAGGATTACAAAATGTCATAGCCTGTTAGGATTCTGAAAAATTTGCACAATTATTTTTGTCATAACACTCACATTTGCAACTAACATGCTACACTGGAAATATTGCTACACCCCAAGGAAAGGAAAGGAAAGGAAAGGAAAGGAAAGGAAAGGAAAGGAAAGGAAAGGAAAGGAAAGGAAAGGAAAGGAAAGGAAAGGAAAGGAAAGTAAAGGAAAGGAAAGGTACTACCAAAGAGGCAAATCTCAAAGGATGCTAAATAAAGTGACTTCTGTTTGATTGCAGTGACGTTCTAAATTATCTTGCCTGATGTGATTAAAGTATTGTATATCCTTCACTGGAGGCAAATTTTATTGACCACTTTTTGTCTCTCGGATGAGCAGTTCCATTACTTACAAGAAAGAGAATCCTTTTGTTTAACATCCTTTGAGGCTCCCTTTCCTTGTTTGGTGAAATACCACTGCCCCACCCCCAAAACCTTGGGAGGTCCAGAAATGCGCTTATCAGGGTGTTGCTCATACAAGTACATTGATCATATTGATCACAGTGAGCCAGTTTGATGTAGTGTTTAGGAGTGCGGACTCTAATCTGGGAGAACCGGGTTTGATTCCCCATTCCGCCACATGCAGCTGCTGGTGTGACTTTGGGTCAGTCACAAGTTCTTTCAGAGCTGTTCTCTCAAGAGCAGTCCTCAAAAGAGCCCTCTCAGCTCCGCCTACTTCACAGGGTGTCTGTTGTAGGGAGGGGAAGGGAAAGGAGATTGTAAGCCACCCTGAGACTCTTTCGGGTAGTGAAGGGCAGGGTATAAATCCAATCTCTTCTTCTTCTAATTGCTAATGCAAATGAGAAGGTGAAGAGACATAAGATCTAAAAATAGCCGAGGTCATGGATGTGCATAGCACAAGGAGTGTTCGGCTGATAAAGAGGACAGTTGCCAGTCCCAGATATAGCCTTCAATGCCACATGAAGTCTGCCGTCCTTGCCAAATGGCACTCTTCCTCTACAGGGAAACAGCTTGCGAGTGTTTGGAAACACAGTGTGGTGTAGTGGTTGCAATGCCAGACTAGGATCTGAAAGACCCAGGTTCCAATCCCCATTCTTCCATGATAGAGCGGTGGCGCAGGCTGTAAAAAGCCTGGAATAAGTCTATCACCGAGCAGCCATAAGGCTGTTCGAGTCCCACCACGGCTGGGGTGAGCTCCCGGTCCTTGTCCCAGCTCCCACCCACCCAGCAGTTCGAAAGCCTTAGGCGAATAGATAAATGGATACCTGCTCTTAGAGAGCGGGGGGCACCCTCCCTCCAGACGGATTGGTGTGTGGCAGCGGCTGAGCGGAGGTGGCGGGAGACGAGTGGAGATGAGCGGCGGTCTGGCGGAACATGGCAGCGATCCGGAAATGGACGACAAGCGACTCTGGCGGTGATTGGCTCAGGAGACACGGCGCCGAGACGAAGTGGCGTGGTCGGAGCCAATAGGACGGAGACCAGCGCTGCAACTGTCTCATAGCCGTGTGCCGTGGGGATCAACCCAGAAGGAGTCGCTGTGGGAAGAAGAACTTCGCCGAGACTCCATCGAAATAGAATAAGAGCCGAAAAGAACAACAGAACTCCGCTGCTTGGGTGCCTGGTAGGCATTTCACACACACCCTTGCACTGTGGCCCTAGCTAGGTCTAAAATGTCTCTGTAAACCGCTCCGAGCCCTCGGGAAGGAGCAGTATATAAATTGAATGTGTATGTATGTATGTGTATGTATAGCTTACCGGATTTGAGCCATTCACACACTGTCAGCCTAGCCTACCTCACGGGGATAAAAGGATCGAGGAGAAAAATGCAAGCCACTTTGGGTCCCCATCGGGGGTGCGGTGGAATGGGCCTGCTCCGGGCTGCAGGTCCTCTGAGGTTCCAGGTGACGTCATCGCATCGGGGATGTCACCCCCTCCAGGAACGCCCTCCAAATCCTCCTGCCGGTGACAAGGTAGGATCGGGCAACCCTACTGCCCAGAGAGAGAGCGAGAAAAAACCTTTTAGAACTCAGAGCGAAGGTTTTGCTCATTTCTGAACTCCAAAGGAAAAAAACATTTCTTCACGGTGGGAACAGGCAGGGTATAAATCAAGTAAAATCAACTAAATAAAATGCACTTAGGAAGGAAGCGCATACATCTGCCCTCTGTCAGCCCACAGCAGGGAGTACAGGGCAGCAGTCTACTTGTGCAAAACGTCACCAAACGTCTTATTCGGTCTTGCAGTCAGGACCAGTTGACTGCATTTGTGTGAGCCGGGGAAGGTCAAGCAGGGATATATCTCTTTGCCCCTGTAGCTGCTACTCCACCATGCCCTGCATTTTAGTGAGCATAAATCTTTGTTGTTGTTGTTTTTAAAAAAGAAGCTGGTACACTGAAACTTGTAAGCTGTTTGCTACCAGTAGTCATTTTCTTTGGCATGTGGAAACATACAGGCTTGGATCCTGTTCGGTCCTGGCCCCAACCTGGTGGAACTCCCCGCCAAATACCATCAGGGCCCTGTGGGACTTATGCAATTCCGCAGGGCCTGTAAGGCAAAGATGTTCCGCCAGGCCTTTGGTTGAGGCGAGCAACGGTTCCCATCATAGCCGGCAGCCTTTCTGCCCCAGCTGCTCTCCATATGTGTTTTTACCTTCTCCTCCCCTGCCCGCAAAGCAGCCAGCAGTCTGTAATGGAACAAATTAATATACGCCATCTTTTTGTTTGAAATATCTTATCAATGTTTTAATTTGTTGTCGAAGGCTTTCACGGCCGGAGTTCATTAACTGTTGTAGATTTTCCAGGCTGTATGGCCGTGGTCCTGGCATTGCAGTAGTCCAGTTCCAGGCTATCTAGCCTTCCATCCACATCCCTCCCCGGACTTAATGAAGATCTCGAAGGGAACGTGATGGGTCTACCCAGGGTCATTCCGAAGCTCCCTGAGCTCGACCGGGAGTCAAAAATACTGTCCCGACTCCGACTTCTCAGCATCGACCAGGTAGTTTTCGTAGAGTCCCCCAAATGCCAGTCCCAGTCTTTGTGGCAGCAGGTCACCCCTGGACCAAAGTGTACTGGGATGAACGATACTGCCAACCGAGGTGTGGCACCACCAATGGTTGACACCAGCCCTCCGGGGCTTGCTTCATCTGTGGGGCCATCATCATGGACGCCCTTGTTCCCGAAGTTGTTGGAGTGGGAACCACCGGGACCATTGTGGTTGGGGCCATGGTGGGCACCGTTGTGGGTACCATCACTGGCACCACCGTGGTGGTCGGTGTAAGCACCAACGTGGTTGTCGGGGTAACCCCTGCCCCTCCGGGGCCGCTCATCTCGTTCAGGAGAGATTCGGTCCAATGGGGTAGAGAGGATTCCTAACAATTCTGTCAGGGTCAACAGCAAGCAACTCTCCACACATAATTCCAGGGAAATGTTATGCTTTATTTGATTACAGGTCTGTTGCCATGGTCTACAGGGATATTGTTAGGAATGACAATGGGGGGGATGCATCCCTTCATATAGTGTGATGCTGCAAATGGCTAAGCAAATGAAATCCAAGCGCGTGTGTGGGAATTCTCCCGGCGGGAGGTTACATAATAAACGGGAGAGTCTCTGTGCCCCATGAGAGCAGAAATATTCACACCAACAGTGGAACACAAGCCCTCCCTCTTCCTCAAGGTTAGCCAGATAACCCAGTCTGGCAGTGCCAGTTTGCACGGTCTCAAGAGAGCCTCCCTATCGCTGTTTACAGCAAGCTAGCAAAGCAAAGCAAGCAAGCAAGCATGCGCCGTAGCGCCACAGTCAGGAAGGGACAGGAAGGTGCACCTGTAAAATGACAGCTAGCTGACAGGCAGTCTTGTGGCCTTGTCCCCCTTCCCCATTGGAGAGTTTATACTGATTTCTGGTGGCTACTTTGTGCTCCATTGTTAATTTGTAGAAGACAGTAACCAAGCCGCTCCCCAGGGGGGAAAGCACAGCCCTTTTACTGGACTCTTCCTCCAGCCTCTTTCTATGGACTCTGTATGGAAACTTTATTTCTTCCTGTTGCATTCCGTTTAATGTGAGTTTCGAGAGTGTCCGTGCCTTATATAGTACATGTTGGAGCGTTTTAATAAAGAAGAGAAAGAAGAGCCATGGTAAACCAGCTTGCCAATGGGGTGCACCTTTGCCTCAGGCCAAGAATAGCTGCCATGGAGCACGGGAACAAACTGTGAAATGTTTGTAAGTCTCAAGCCAAACATCCCCCTAAGATGGAGGCAGCTGCTTCCAAATGGGTTCTCGCTGAACACACAAAGGCGATGCCTTCTGGGTTCTTCCGTAGCACCTGTGCTCCAGTGAGGTGGAAGAAAGTCAGGTCTGGCTCCTTGCTCTGGGGAAGAGATGCTTTGAAGAAGCAGCAAATGGGCTCCAGGGTGGACGCTACGTTGAAGGTCACTGATCTAGGAGGCTCTAGCAAGAAGCGTATAGGAGTATGCAGACACTGCTACAGAGCAAGGAAAACAGATTGACAGCAGCTTAGTTCTCACTCCTCCACATGCAGCGGCTGGTGTGACCTTGGGCCAGCCATGGCTCTCTCAGAGCTGTTCTCTCAAGAGCAGTTTCTGTCAGAGCTCTCTCAGCCCCACCTACCTCACAGGGTGTCTGTTGTGGGGAGGGGAAGGGAAAGGAGATTGTAAGCTCTGAGATTCCTTCAGGTAGTGAAGGGCGGCATATAAATCCAGCCCCTTCTTCTTCTTATGAAGTTGCCTTCTCCTGAGCTGGTCTACTGGTCCATCTAGCCGAATATTATCTTCTTTGACTGATGGTAGTTCTCTCAGGACCCAAGCAGGCTTCCCTTTTGCATTCTTGCATCTGAAACGGCAAGCTTGGCCAATTCACGCATTATGGAGTTCTGCAGTCCCCCACCCTGTGCAACAATTAAACATGACTTGATTTCTCTTCTCAATTTAAAACATTTCTATCCCACCTTAATCTCTGCAGAGACAAGACAATGGGGGGGGGGTCTCCTCAAACTGTGTGTGTGTGTGGTGCCTGATTCAGACTGGGACCACTGCACACAGAGATAAAAGGTTCAGCCTTCCCTCCCATGTGATCTTCCCCACCTGAAACAGCATCCCTCAGAGCCATTCCAGGTTGGCCAAAAGGTGGTGGGGGTGATCCTGAATCCCATTCTCCACATGGGCCATGGGCCGTGCATGTGGGAACTGAGGAGAACTTTCAACTCACGCCTGGTTGTTACACAGGGTGGTAGAGTTGCCTGCCTTCAGGTGGGACCTGGAGATCTCCCACTTTTTCAACAGATCTCCAGCTGACAGAGATCAGCTCCCCTGGAGAAAATGGCTGGTTTGAAGGGTGGACCCCATGGCATTGTACCATGCTGAGGCCCCTCCCCTCCCCAAACCTCGCCCTCTCCTGGATCCACCCCCAAAGTCTCCAGGAATTTTCCAACCCAGACCTGGCAACCCTACAGGGTGGGGACTCATAGCTCGGGCATAAAAGCCATGTGTCCTATCACTAACTATATGCCTTTCATCATCAGCGCAGTTTACGAGAGAAGTTCGCTGCAAAAATTCGGGCTGTTGTTTCTCTGAATCAGCAGAGAGAGCAAGGAGCTTATGCAGTGTTTTTGAACATGTACAGAGCCAGGCTTTCTTAATCAGAAAGAGCACAGGAGAATTCAGGACGGTTGAAGCACACTATTGATCTGCTAGCCCCGGACAGGCCTCTTCCTTTGATGATTAATTCAGTGAATGAAAATCCATAAGAACAGCCTAGCTTTGCTGCTAGGAATCTGAAGCATGTGTCTAAGAAATCCTGGAAACTGAGAAATAGTGCAGAGGAATCAGAATATTTTGCTGTGGAAGAGAGAAAATGCAGGAACCTTTCTCAAGCACAGCAAACCCTGACATTACACATCCCATAATTACAACAAAAAGACATAGTGAGTAGTTAGAGTTGCCAGCGGACCTGGGAAAAAAGCATCCAGTGCCATTGAGAAATGTGAACCAGGGCGGCGGGGGGGGGGAGGGTTAGGAGGAGCATCCACCTTCAGCCTCCAAGGACGGTTTTCAGTTTTTCCAATGGAAAAATTGGAAATTTGGGGAAACAGTAAAAAAAAAAAATGCTATGAAATATTTTCTCCTTTGGAAGGAAATGCCTTTAAGACAAAGTTTTACTTAGAATGTGTAAAGATTTTTATGTAAAACAATCTACAGCATTAGGGAATTATATTTCCTGTGTATATACTGCAGAGGCATAAATAGCATATTTACAAGCACACATTGAATGTTTAAACGTTATAGAACCCGACCAATTAATATGCTATAATGTGTGTGATGATCTCTGTGTGCCGAGTACTGGGTGTTGTGACTGGCCTTTTCGACCAACTGAGGGGACCCACACGGCCTCCTATAATTTGGGGGGAATTAGGTTTGTTTGAAACGATAAACCTTCCCCTCAGTTACCAGTTGTTCTAAAGGTAGCAAGTATACAGGCTTTGGGATCGCTGCCATGAGGTAAGTTCTGTGGCTTGCAAGAACAAAGAGATCACTGAGGCAGGAATTGCATATAAACACTGAAGATTTTTATTTATTTACAGGTTGGTATCACGGAACAGATCAGCAGCTCAGGTCTCCAGGCAGCCAATATGGCTGAGGCACATCAATATAAACTCGTTATGGCTTCAGAGCCCCGCCTTCCTCACAGGGTGTCTGTTGTGGGGAGAGGAAGGGAAAGGAGACTGTAAGCCCCTCTGAGTGGGCGGGGTAGAAATCCAATCTCTGCTCTCTTCTTTTCTTCTCTCATTGATGTATTTCAACAAACCTGGCCCTCCCCTAAGCATTGCCAACCTCCAGGCAGCACCTGGAGAGCTCCAGCTATTACAACTGATCTCCAAATGGCTGCTTTGGGCAGTGGAGGTCCCTCCGCACCTCCAAACCCTGCCCTCCCCAGGCTCTACCCCTCAAATGTATAGGTCTGGCCCTCCCCTTAGTATTGCCAGCCTCCAGGCAGCACCTGGAGATCTCCAAGATCAGTTCTCCTGGAGAAAATGGCTGCTTTTGGCAATGGACTCTATGGCATTATACCCTGCTGAGGTCCCTCCGCACCCCCAAACCCTGCCCTCCCCAGGCTCTACCCCTCAACAGGTATTTTTCTACTGGTGTAACATTTCCCATCACAAGCACACAGCTGTCACTTCATCCGGCTGTGTATTCAGTTTAAGAAAAGGGTGAGAGGAACTCTTTCAGGGTATAGCAGAGTACAGCAGTTTTAACAGGACCTATATCATAAAATGCTGCTTTCATCTTTCTCATATTTTGGACCTTGGGAAACATGACCGAGCACATACAGAGTGCACTTTGGCTGTAACACAAGTCACTGAAGGAAAAGCATTTTAGCGTGTGACTGTAACTCTTGAGAAATATGTCCTGCTGAGGTTGCCTCCTTGTCCAGCAAATTTGTGGTTTTAAAAACACTACTTTTGGATGCACAGGGAGTCCACATCCCAAATCTCAATTTGCTTTTTCAGCATCTCCCATTTACAGCTCCCTTTTTCAAAATTAAGTGGACACAGGGTATTTTAAAGCATGGTGCATGGAAAAAGAAACGATTTGTCTGCTGGAATATTTTGATAGCAGATTCATTTTTGTTGGGCTTCTAATCAGAAATACACTCCCACCACCTTCCCACACTTGTTATCTTTTCCAATGAACAAGGGGAAAAAATGAAGGGAAAAACAACCAGCCCTAAATGAATTAGGTAACCAAAAGGCGGAGAAAAACAAATCAAAATGGACAAAAGACAAAGGTTAATATAGAAACTGAAAAACTAATACAAGTCGTTTTAATTGAATATAGAACAACAAAAGCAGAGAATTAAAGCAATGGCTGTATGTATAGCACCTAAGTATGGCAGCTTCCCTTTATGTAGTACAAATAATGAACAAGATAATAACAATACACACAAAGATGTCAAATCATTGTCACATGACTATACACGTTCAATATCCATCACCTGGGCACACTTATGGGAAAAGGGAATGACGTCATTTCCAATGTCCCATGCTTTCTAAGCTTGAGCAGGGCAAATCATGTTGACAAAAGTGTGTAAGACAATGACAAAGAGTGCCTTTGGGCTTACTTACACAGAAGAGTTTCAGTCAGCCTGTGTATGTACAGGGTATCCAGACATGCAATCTGTCAGGATACACAGAGCAATTTACAAATCAGTGTAATAGCTGATTCACAAATGATTTCTCCCATTCCTCAAATTCAAGAAATCCCTTCTTATGTTGGGGCATTTTT